AAAAATTTGCACGCGTTGGTAGTGCATGAGATTTGGCATGATACAATATTCTGTTTACGCATCGCAATCGATTAGCTATAGCTGAGTTCTCCGATAGCTTGTCTGAGCTAGAAATTTGAGAAGTAATTAACTACTTCGCTACTGAAAAAATGTAGTTCGCTACAGCTACAACTGTTTTAAAAAAGTAGTTGCTGCTGACCCACTGTTGATAATTGCTTTATATTATCACTATATACGTAGCCTCTTGGACGGTCTACACTATATATATATTAAAGTGGCCCTGACACAAAAATTGATTTTTTGTGTATTGAAAGTACACATTATGTGGAGTGTTTTGGTGAAAGAATTTTTTTATTTCATTGAAACGAAAAAATTTTAGAGCCGTTTGAACACGCAAAATGTGGGCTTTTGTTGGCACGCGTCCGTGTTCGAAGGAAACTGGAACGAGCGATTTTTGTTACGTCACGCAAGTGAGTCGGGGTATTCTATAATTTATTCGACTGGTACCGTTGGCGCATATAGTCCATATACAAATATACTAGATTTGTGATAAAAAAATATATGCTTTTTTACTATGTTGCAGCTAACTGTACCAATAAACCATGTTTAAAAGATGGAATAAGTTTACACAATATTCCATACTTCAATAACGAACGCGCGGAAGCTAAAAGACGAAGAAAAGTATGGGTTGGTAAGTTGGTTCTGTATCCGCAAAACGTTTGTTTGTGCCGTCAAAGCTAGACTTCGACTATATGCTCGGATCAGTTTTGACCAGAGGATTACGAGAGGCGATTCTTTTCGTGTCTTTCGTTGACGGGGCTCGGCAAGCCTAACTATCCGAAGCTATTAAAGACTGACGATAATTTGCTTTGTTTTGATGATTCAATTTCGGTTTTACGGGCCCGCTAATAATATAAATATTTTGTAATACCGAAATGAAAGATGCAAATCTGAAGACACAAGCTTGAAAATAACACTCTAAATAGTGTTTTCGATTCCGGTTCGAATAAGACTATTACGAAAAAGATATTTCCAAAGGGGCCGAATTTATGTTCGGCGAAAGATATGACTAGTTTACATTGTTCGAGACTATAAATTGAGTAATATAATGAATTATGACACCGCTTGACCTATCAAAGTCAAAGACAAAGGTCATAAATAGCTATACCATCTGACTAAAACTATACCTGTATCTGACTAAAAGTCTAAAACTATCGCTGAGAATTAGGAGATTTTGTTTCACTGAATCGAGTCGTAGTATTTTTGTCTTCATAGCATGCACTGAACCGGAGATATAAACTTTGCAAAGCCATAGAACGTCTACGTTAGCAGAGGGCCAGGCAAGATGCGCCAAATCTGAGACGCAGACTAAAAACAGTCGCTAATAATGGGAGACTAGTTTTATTTTATTTTTCTTGTGTCCCCTAGCTTTGTTTACCAATAACAATCCATAGTTTTACTCGTGAAGTGAAATTGTGATAATAGCGGCAGTTTTTCGTCACTTCCGCGTCGTGTAGATTTGGTGGTTTTAATGATAATACTAGGGACCTGGCGTGTTATTGATCAGCATCTTCCAACACAACATATATTCACCAGGTATAAAATTCGCACTGGAATCATCGGACTGATCGCTACTGTCGGATTCTGTTGTCGACATGATACTTTATAGAACCATGATAGAACTTAGAAGATAAAAACACTTCAGCCGTTCAGCGATCGAAACCTTTGAGCTGATCAAAACCGATAAAAGTCTAACAGACCGTCAAGATTTGACTCACTTGCGTGACGTCACAAAAAATGCTATCCCCAGACTCCTGTAGCCGACGTCCATGTGCCAAAAATTTATGTGTTTAAACCGCTCTAAAATTTTTCCTTTTCAATGAAATCAAAAAATTCTTTCACCAAAACACTCCACATATAATGTGTACTTTCAATACACAAAAAAATCAATTTTTGTGTCAGGGGCACTTTAAGGATAATAAGCTTTCCAGGAAGCTTACAGGAAGCTAGCTAGTTGTTTCACGGATTCTTGCATGGTACAGTGTAATTGCAAAATGAAAACGGTCTTTTCTTGCGTTTAATACGGTTCATGTTTAGTTATAAACTTGATATGTAAATCACGGGAACTACATAATAGGTTCATTTTAATTAATAAGCCAAAGAAAAGCCAGCAATTTGGGAGCAGAAATCAACTTCATCATGCAGTCTATCTGCATGTATGTTATTATCCTATAGCTCGGCTATTATATAGCCGACTGCATGTCTCATGTTCGATATCATCTGAAATATTTATAGATTAACTCTAAATCTTGTATATCGATATCCACGTCAACGTCTTAAAAACACGAACCTATATAATTATAGGCCTATATAATATACGAAATTATTTAAAGAAAGGTCAACCTGGTATAACACTTCATTTATTCTGACATGCCTATATAAGTAAGAATGGAATCGATATGGTGCACATTCAGAGATAGGTCAGTATAGGACACATTTCCAGAAACATTTGATGCCTAAAAATGGAATTGATGTTTCAAATATATTTCAAAAGACGATATATACCGATGGTCACCACAAAATAGAAAACCCTGCACCGAGATGTCTCGACAGTTTTTACTTTTTAGTGCGCGATATAAGATTACCAATGGCAATGTCATTAAATTTTGAAAATACGAAGCCGAAACCACAGTTTATAGACTTCGAGTTTTCTATCATTATATATATATATATATATATATATATATATATATATATATATATATATATATATATATATATATATATATATAGCTTAAGATTTTGGTTTACGAAACACAAACAGTGCTCAATACCATATAGATAGAGCGTAATATAGTTTTTCGTTTTACCTCAAAAACGAAATGAAACGAAATTTCGAAACGAAACGAAATTTTAGGCATCAAATGAAACAGACTGTTGTGGTTTTTTGAGGTAAAACGAAAAACTATATATATACCGGGTGGCGCAAAAAAAAGTATAACTGTTTGATTACATATAGCTCAAAGACCATAAGTAGTAGAACCCAAAATCGAGTTTCATTGCATCCAGCGATGTCTAACTTAAATTTTGGTATACTCGACAGGCATTTTCGTCCAAGATTGACTGAGATATGAGTGTTTAAACTTTTGTTAGCAAATTTGAAACGGTCACAAATTAGCTAAAAACGGCCTATTAAACTGATTTTTAGCTAATTTGTGACCGTTTCAAAATTGTAACAAAAGTTTAAACTCTTATATCTCAGTTAATCTCGGACGAATATGCCTGTCAAATATACCAAAATTTAAGTTAGATATCGCTGGATGCAATTAAACTCGATTTATGGTTCTACTGCTTATTGTTTCTGAGTTACAAGTAATCAAACAGTTGTACTTTTTTTTGCGCCACCCGGTATATATATATATATATATATATATACAAAATACAATATTCGTATCAGCCAGTTCGACATTTATATACAACAGAATAGCTGGCTACGATCCGAGAGAAACCAATACTAAAAATGTACTAAAGTAATAAAGTTTAATTTAGTACATTTTTAGTATTGGTTTTTCTCGGATCGTAGCCAGCTATTCTGTTGTATATATATATATATATATATATATATATATATATATATATATGCTAGGAAAACTATATATATCTCACTATTACAGACACTATACTGCATGTAATTTGGTGATGAAGATTGAAGTAAACTCGGAAAAATAATTAAGTCGTTTAATCGCAAATTGCAGGTCATTTAGAAGACTTCGAATGCAATAATATTCTTATATAATGTTTCCTAATTTTAGAAATCTTTTCCCTGATAACATTGTGGAGACAACTTTCCGTACGGTAGGTATAATGCTTTTGATTAGAAATACATTATTTTTTTTTTCATGTACTTTAAACGAAAAATATTTAGTTGTCGATGAAACTAGTATATATATAATTGTCTGAATATCCGTCGAAAACTGTCGTTCCAAATGCATTGCCTCGAGCGACTCAAAAAATGAAACAAACGACAAACGTATATTTGAGAATTGAGATTCTTTGTTACGGTACTACATATTTTAAGACAGTTGAAATATTTTTAAAGCATACCTGTTGCATAAGTATCGAGTTTGTCTTTTAATCTTTTGTGTTTTGTTTTGGTTTTCACAGTAACCTTGAAACTGTATTTTATACGTCAACGTTTATGCCTTCACGAAATTAATTATTTTTTAAGCAATTTTTACTCCCCGCAACCACATATCCTTACTCTGTGCCGCAACCGTGCGAAACTCCTTGTCGCAAGAGATTGGGACGAGCCAAAATTCGTTATAAATCCGCGATTTTGTGGAGACAAAATTTTAGAAAAGATATAGGCGGTATGTTATTTCTATGATCCATTGATCCACACTGGCTTCTCGTTTACATGCAGCACCGGATCAATCTCCTTATAATGTCTATATTAGATTCGGTGTTTGTTCAGTGAACTCAATTTTTTCTATTTTTATTTTACCTGAATTTAATAATAATTTATTTTATTGAATTCAGGTAAAGTTAATTAGAATAAATTGAAACGATAACACTAAGTCATTTGGCAGCAAAAATGTGAAGCCTCGCGCCATCAAGCATAAGCGGTGTCTTCAGCCCTCCGCGCCATCGTGATATACATCAGTTTCAGTCCTCGTATATATACGCCATCCCGACCAATCTCGAACCCTGAGCCTGCAATCCTCTGTGGAGACTTGCATGCTGAGGCTCTGGAAAACACCAGCGAAAACCGGGTCTGATTAGTTGTTTTTCAATTGTTCGTACCCATTTCTTATACACTGATTCCGTGCTAATTAGTCGGTGCAGGGGCCGCCGCCTGTGTAGCCTGCATGGCAGGCGGTTCCTAAAATTGGGCAAACTGGGAAATGCCCACCGACTCTAGGTTTGCCCTTTGGTAGACCACAAAAATTACGTAATTCTTATGAAATCAAAATCAAAATGGCGATCATGGAATGGCGTACAAAAGTTCGCTATTGACGCTTGTAAAGTTCTCTTGTAATCAATTTTTTGGTCCAGTCGTGTCTTTTCTTTTGGGGTTTTTGAAAGAAATATATTAATAAGAATTCACTAAAAGTTAACAACGACGTTTGGCTGTTATGTTTAATATCGAGGAAGGAAGTGGATAATTTGTACATAACTTTATATATTTTGGTCTTTTGGATCTTAGGATCTGCATAAATTAAACTTAACGTCAGACATCGCCTGCTTCTTTCGATGGTCTACATCCTGTTCCTATTATATTTCATGAAAGAATTAAGGTTTATTGGGACAAAATACTGTAAAATTCGCTGGCATGGTGTTTCCCAGAGCCTCAGCAAGCCTCCACAGAGGATTGCAGGCTCAGGGTTCGAGATTGCATCCCGAAGCATCGCCACACGGTTTGGACATCAGTTTCAGTCCCCCACAATTTTTTCCCTGCACGGTCAGTACGTCAATGTCAGTTTGGATTGTTGTTTTTAAATAACAATACTTTTTTGCATAACGAAATATTCTGTCCTAAGTGAAATATTACAGAAGGATACTACGAGGAAATATCTTTTCGTAACTAAAATAAGTCGATTAAAGCAAGTCTATTTTAGTTTATTTGTTTAAACAGCAAAATTATTCCTGTACACAATTTAATATTTTGCGCTCACGTTTTTCTACATTGCTTGTAACCAGACCTGATTCAAGATGGCGGCCTTCAGTTGCTACCATAGGCAGTCCAGTAGCTAGGCGTGTTAAATATTAACTTTTAATAAAACTGTTTAATATGGCAAAAATGTTTAGATAGCAATGCATTTCTGCAGTTCTGGTTGTGTGCTACGGGCGACGCCACTCACAGGGGCGGCGCTAACCCTCTTCGAGTGGGGGGGGGTGAGTGATCTTTTGCCGACTGTTGTTTGGTAACTTTGCCGAGTCATTAGCCTATGAGGGGGTGAGGGGGGGGGGGTGTCCCATTCCCATTTTCCACCTGTAATTTTGGCAAAATCCCAGTTCCAGTTGGATTTTTATTAGAAATCCCAGTCTTTCTGAAGAATTAGATCGGCTCGAGCTAATTTGTAAAACAACAGCGCCAAAAGTAAACCTCGAAGTAAGCAATTTCAAAACGACAGGGGAAGCAGACGAAATATCGTTAAGAAAGATAATCAGAGAAGAGGTAGCAGCCGCCCTATCCAAAGAAAACGATGGAAGTCGGGAAACGGAGGACGAAACAAAACGTACGGTCGGGTTCGTTGGATAGAGAAATTTCCCGCCAAAACCTAGGAGTGGAAAAACCGATAAAAATCAAGCGTGTTTCCACTGCCAGTCGCCTGAACATTTTCGGAAAGACTGTCCATTTAAAGATCTTTGTCAACGCTGCTGGCAAAAGGGCCATACAGCACCATCTTGCCATGCTCCAAGCCCTCGCCCTTCGCCGTCTTTAAACTCCAAGGCGGCTGGGAACAATCGTCAGCAAAAATAAATTCGTTCTCAGCCGCGAAGAAATTTATTACACTAACTGGTACTGTGGTTCAGTCTGGAAGCAGAGAGTTCAAGCATGAGTTTATTTGTGATTCTGGAGCAGAGGTTTCAGTTATTCCAACGGCGTTAGCACAAGAACATTGCATGAAAATTCAACCAACTACACATCACGTAGAGATGGCTAATGGGACACACGCAGAATGCAGAGGTGTGGTTCAAACATCAGTTACGGTAGGGACAAATAGTTGTATATTGAGTTTTTTTGTGGTAAATGGTGTTCAAAACTGGATTCTGGGCCTGTACTCTTTGGGAAAATTGGGTGTATCGTTGAACACAGGAAAAAAATTGGCAACAATAGATGGGGCCCAACCCGTGTTACAACCGGAAGTAAATACCCCTCAGGAAATGCTAAAGTGTTGCCACATACGAGTTGCGGAAAGTCGTGATATTAAGCCATTTGAAGAAATATTCATTTGGGGTAAATTGGAAGATAAGAATGAAACATTTACTAGAGATTCGTATATCGAAGGTACGGAACATTTTCAGCAGAGAACTGGGCTTCTTACAGCCCCGATAAAGATTTCGGCAGAAATGATGAACGATGAATAAAATCCCCATATGGTACTGAATATACTGATAAATCAATCAGAGTTTATAGAGAACAAATGCGGCCACAATTCAGTATATATATATATATATATATATATATATATATATATATATATATATATATATATATATA